AAAGCTTTTTGAGCAATTCCTTCAGAACATCTTTATTGCGAGTCTCAGCCAAGTCTATAATATCTTGACCTGCTTCCTCTCCATACTGGCCTGCTTTGAGCTAGAAAAAGGAAATCATGCAAATTTGCTCTTGGAGTATGCCGTATTCAAGGCTTCAAAAAATGACAACTAAATAATAAGGAACATAGCTAGCCTAGCTGTTAGATAGAACAAGAAAAGCTCTTCACATACAGCTCATTGGCAGCTTGCTTGAATTCGTAACAAAATAAAGCGTTCAAAAACGAAACACCAAAAAGCGCAAGAACTTTCTTCACGACCTAATCTAGACAGCAAACCCTTCATAGGTGCACTCGGCAGCATAAGGCACATATAATAGATTAGGGGACTTTCTGATTAAATAGAAGTCGAGGGCGCGGCGCAGCTACAACGGAACAATTAACTGCAATTTTTGACACTTTCTTACCTCTTAACATCGTCCTTATCAATTACCACGGAAAAGAACAGAGACTCACGGTTGATTCCCGGCGGTGTATAGATCGCATCGTGTACACTCCAAAGAACAAGTGGCATTCAAAAACTAAAATCAACATTGAGTCACTAATAAAACTTTCTTGAACGCTTTTCAAGTTTTCCATATGGTCCGTCTCATTGATCCGAGAAGTTCTAATCTTTGGACAAGTAGGATGTAAGCATGTTGAGAACTAAAATGCAGAAAGACATATTTCAGATGGGAAATATTCCACACTCTAATGTGTCAGTGCTGTACCCACAGTCTGTACGACGTCACATATGGTGACCTTCTAAGGTCCGGGTATTGATTAGACCCTTAGAGAACTTGTGAGCTTGAGTGAGGTAGCAAGACCCTGAATCACAAAGGTGATGGTACTGTAGCGATCTAAAAGTGCGCGATGGGTTAATGCATACGCTTTATCTCTGCGACCGCTGCCATTCTTATTTATCATAGCGTATGTTGCGTCTGCCCCCCCCTCTGCGATATGCTATCCCCCGTTTTCCCTCTCCTCGCTCCGGTACCGAAGCCGACCTCACAAGAAATTTCAGTGCTCTCTATAGGATTTTTGCTTTTTTCCCACTAACGTTCCTCTTAGCAATTTTACCACATTAATTCGATTGCGACCTGTCCCTCTAAGGTTCCAGTCGGAAGGTAGAGTGTGAAGCTTTTCTCAGCAGTTCTAATTTTAATGGGAGGATAATCGAGACAGGTGCTTGAACCAGCACATAAAACATGGTGTAGTAATGTAGGCAAGGTTAATCAAGTAGTTCGAAT